CGTTTTAGAGTCGTGGTTAATGAGACAGTTAATGGGGTTCTCGTTTTGCAGGAGAGACGTTAGCGCTTAGGTCCAAAGTGTGACATGGCATTAAATGTCAATGATGTCATCGCAGCCTTGAAATTTCAAAAAGAGACTGGCTATTTAATTGCTGCTAGTTTCGTCACGCCTGCCTGGTATCCATCTCTAAGAAATTGTCAAGCTGCAAACGATAATTGCTCCAGGAAATCCTTCTGCCAAACAATGAATCGACTCTTCGAGCCATTCTTTGCAGTTTTCAGTTGCTTTTTGCAGAAAAAAAGTCATCTACCAAAGACAAACACCCTCCAGGAAGAAAAAAAACACCTCCCGGCAGAAAAAACAACACCTCCCGGCAGAAAAAAAACATACCTCCTGGCAGAAAAAAGCCATGCCGGCTTTCGGAACTGCAGAGTTCGAGGGCTTCTGCAGAGTGCACGCCAGCCTGCTTTAGGAAAAAAAGTGTTTCTGCGGACTCAAAAAGGGCGTTTCTGCAGAGTTTTTCATTCCCAGTGCAGTAAGGTTAAAGCAAGGTTTTGGTCTTGGACTCTGAACAACTATGGAGAAACAGAATTGCAAGCCCTGCGCACGAAGTTATCCCAGAAGGAAGAAGTTCGCTACTCCATCTTTGCTAAAGAAGTCGGCGACAGCGGCAAACCCCACCTGCAAGGCTTCACGGTTTTCATCGGACAAAAGTCTCTCACCGGAGTTAAGAAAGTGGTTGGAAACAGAGCCCATGTTGAGGTATCTACAGGTAATGAGCAACAAAACTACGACTACTGCATCAAAGACCGTGATTACGAGGAATTTGGCTCCAGAGACAGGAAGAGAGGAAAACACAGGGATATAGAAGAATTCAAGAAGGCAGTTGAAGGAGGAGAACGAGATATAAAGAGGCTAAGGTTACACCATTCAGAAGTCTGCGCCTCGTTTCGTAAATGAATTTATTCGTGACAATATTCCAGAGCCTCAAATCGAAGCGCATCCCCTTTATCCCTGGCAGCAACAATTGTATGCCGTACTCAAAGGGCCTGCAGACGACAGAACCATCTATTTCGTAGTAGACACCAAAGGCAACAAAGGAAAGAGTTGGTTCGCAAAATATTACTGCAGTCAGTATCCCGACAAAACTCATATCCTGCGACCCACCAAACATGCGGACATGGCCTACGCTCTTCCCTATGAACTCAAAGTCATGTTTGTAGATTGTACCAGAAAACAAGTTGAGTACATGCCATACACTTTCATGGAAGAATTGAAAGATGGCCTTGTGTTCAACAGCAAATATGAAAGCTGCGTGAAGAAACACACGAACCTTCATGTAGTGGTACTCATGAATCAATTTCCTGACATGGAAGCACTCAGTGAGGACAGATACAACATCATTGAATTATAGATTAAAACCCTACATTGTAGTAACTCATATTCTCCATTCTCTCGTTCTCCTTGTACGTATCACACAAAGACTGAGTTGGTTGGTTGGATTGTGAATGGGGCCACTTCGTTGGGGGCTCACCTTGCTCGTTATAACTGCTGTTTGGTTGGCATGATCGCTCTCTCAGGTGCTACATGTAACGGGTGAAATGAGTCCCTGAAGCTCGGTCGCGTTACATGTACATGTACCAACAACAGCCATCAAGAACAACAACAACAGCATCGAAATTCCATTATTTGCAATTGACCGAAAAAGGCTGATGATGGTAGAGGAATTGCTATAGTTGTGTGTTACTACTTGGTTGTTGTTGTGTGGTTGATTTTAGTAAGCTGGTAACTGGATAGTCACGTTACATGTACCAACAACAGCCATCAAGAACAACAACAGCATCGAAATTCCATTATTTGCAATTGACGACGAGGATTGTACAATACCGTAGTGCAAAGCGCTTTGTTTCATCCCCATCAGAAATCAATGAGTGAGATAACCAGAGAGGTTCTTGTGAAGGGTTTGTCGAAAGGGAAACATTCATTGGCCGAGGAGACCACAGCACTTGAAGAGAAGAAAGAGAGTTCCGACCTCCCTGTGGACGCTGTGCATGCATCTGAAAAATCCGGAGAGGGGGATTTGGAGAGTGGCCTGTCACCAACGCTGTCCTTGCAGAAACGACGAAATCGATTCCAGGAACTTCCAGAAGGCTTGGCAGAGCTGTTTGGTGGCCAAGTTTTTAGAGACGAAGACGAACTCGAAAAACATCTCCGCGAGCTAAAAATTGCCGACGAAGCCATAGTCTTGTGCGAAGACGGGAAAGCATGTTACCACATGCCGGGGGAAGAACACAATACCGGGACTGGATATATTGCAAGAAAGTTCAATAGTTGGGCCCGCGATATGAAAGGGTTTGCTCAGGAGAATACGAATATAAAACTCCGACCACGTCTTCCTGGAGCTCCTCCGCCCCTAAAACGACAACGGCCCAAGAAGAGACTGCCTGACGTTGCGCTATGGGGTAGAACCAAGTGCTACTTCGATAATGATGGGCGCATCAGGGGAGCCATGAGAGCCACCCCAGCGTCTGCACAGCCAAAAGTTCATCCGCACGTGGTAATCCAACTCTCTGTTTTCGATGACGAAGACTATGAGGTTGATGCCATCAACGACCTTGCTACCCGTGCAATTCCTGGGCAAGGGACGCCACCGAATCTTGGCATATTGATCAAGAGTCGTGAGGCAAACGGACCTGGCATCCAGGCCGGCTTCGACATATACTACCTTCCTGCGGGAACTTTTTTTGATGATGCCGTGAATGGCACAAATGATGCCAGTCATGTCGTTTACAATTATGGTGGTCCCGATGTCGTTGTGACAATTACAGAGGCAAATCTGGGAGGAGTTGATCTTAGTGTTTGGGAATCGATCATGAACTTTTTAACGGGGCGTGGCAACGACTTCGAGCTCAGCATGGCTGATCTCTACGAAGTTACTTTTGTATCATAAGATGATGGCTGAGGAGGTCCTGAGCTGTTTTTTGTACCATCTGCTAGATGTCATCCAAATTGGTTTTGAAGGGGCTGGACTATCGCAACTTAGCATTGGTGTTTTCTAGCTCGAAAGACCACAAAATTGTTCCCACGCTACCTAGCTCCTAGCTAGACTAGTTCTATAGCCTCAACATTGTACGGATATCTCGTTTAGGCCTATCCTCAGAACCCTGGGAACCGAGTAACCCTGCATGCATCCGACAAAGTTGCTCCCGACAGAAAACCTGGGACAAGAGGGGGTAAGCGAAGCGCTGAAGGGTTGAACAACTATCCCTAATAGGTTATTTGACAAATGTACGTTGTTAGAAAGGTATTTTCGTATGACGGACAGACGACTCGGATCCCAGTCACGGTTCGTGACTAAGGATGTGTGACTCAATCAGATTGTTATCCGTCATCATCAGATGGCCAGTGTACGAGGAACGAGGACATGGTCGTCTAGATGATGCAACTACAAAGGTTAGGAATTAGGTCGAAGAGACGAATGCAAGGAGCGATGGGACGGAGCAAATGAATTGACGGATGAAGTCCATAGGTTTAGTAAAGGGGAAAGCCCTCCAGGGCAACCATGCACTTCAGGAAGATAGATCGACGAGATCTATCTGCAAATGAAACTGCGAGAAACAGAGGATCGAAAGATCCTGGTATATGTATGCATATCGGAGCTCAGTTGTAGAGCTCACAATCTGAACGAGAGAGAAAGAGGAAACGAAACGAATAGCCAGTCTACTAGACAGTAGAGCTGGAAGGATATTGATTAAATTAGAGAAATTGTGCGTTCAAGTTCACACCTTTTCAACAGTACGTGTGTACTCGTACACTTGGGGAACGAACGGCTAGCTAGTTCGCGTGCGCTACATTTTCGCTGCCCCGTCCTCAACGTCGTTGCGTCAAGGAGAGATCAATAGGGGTGACAATACCTGTGGAGATTCCAAACGACACCTCCCGTTACTGTATGAAACTCGATCCGCCCGGCGACAGCAATCATGATATTGCCTCTATCCTGCACAGGGGCCCCATCTTGGGAGGCGAGACCAAAAAGTTGTCGTCTCTCACTGCACAGGGCAGGGCCATCTTGGGAGGCGAGACCAAAACGTTGCTCGTCTTTCACTGCACCAACGGGCGCCATCTTTGGCATTGGACCTTGAGCATCCATAGTCCCCTCTAACTGCATAGTAACCACTCTTACTCACCATGAGCATCCTCTTTCAACGACTCTATTGGACACTGGAAAGCCAATGGTGGGTGGTACATAACCACGCACCGATGTTGGAGACTTGTGCCGCAGCGGGTAGCTTCACAGCTCGTTTGATATCTATTTGGGCTCCCTTGATGTGCTTTCCTCAATGGTTCGCCATTGGAATGGGCACCGCTGAGGGATACGCCATTTTTGCGGCACGCTATTCGGCCATGTGCATTGTTCGCTACTTGGATGGAAAAATTCCTTGCACTCGTGCTTTAGGGATCTGTCATATTTCTACGTTGGGTCCTCTACTTTTGTGGCTTGTGTTGGGAAAGCGTGAAGATCGATACGAACAGGGAGACATCAGTGCTTCTTTCCTAAGCGTGGAAATCAAGATTATTGCTCTTTGTGTTTTTATGGACATTCGGGACTTCCTCTTGCACATGATTGGGTATCCTTATCCCTGCTACATTCGAGTTGCGGTTCAAGCAGGTGCCATCAAGGACGTGACCGATGTGAGGGCCCGAGCCAAAGTGCACTGGTGGTCAGCGATTGTGGGGCCTTGAAGGTGAGGAGGTTAGCACATGCCCTGTTTCTGGTTTCTTTTCATTTTGTCGCTGCTCACTTTTGGACGCACTTCAACAAAGTGATGTCATGAACTCAAATGGTGTCTTTTGTTTGTGCGCTAAACCCAGGGATTCGCCCCAAGCCAAACGATTCCTTTGGTCCAAGGTTAGCAGATGTACCGTTCCAGAGTCTTTAGCACAGCAATCTCCTGCTGTGGCCTGGGATTGAGCCGCAAGAAACCGGCAAGAACCAATAACGCGCGCATAAAACTGCTCTCCGTGCATCTTTTCTTGGTATTATCTAGGCTCTACTGTGTCATTATGCAAAAAAGTACACGTGGGGCAAAGGATACGAGAGAGGTAGGGGATAGGGTCCGTCATAATTGTCCGAGTAGGCGGGGTTATTCGTCCTGAACCAGTCGGCCCAATCGTCTTCTATTGGTGGTGTTGGCAGAGACGCTAGGGTTGTCCAGTCAATGGGACTCCAATCTTCGTACTCTTCCCGGACGGGATGCAGCCGCTTCCAGGATGTTTCTTTCACTTGAGGCTCACGGTCCAGGCGGAGCAAACCCGCCAACCGTGGTAGTGGAATGCCAAAAGTGTGAAGATTCACAACCTCCATGTTTCTTGGTTCGTTCCCCGGCCTGGTGGAACCAACCGAAGAGGACCTCAACAGTTTGAAGTGCGCAAACCTGGCCACTGTCGGCCTATTGCACCTTTCTACCATGACTTCGTCGTGAGTTCGCAGAAAGCATGCTAGAGGCTTTGTGGACGCTGGCATGCAACTCATTTTTCCTCGTTGGTCACCACCTCCAACTTGGGATGATGTGCAATCGCTGCTCGCAAAACCATTGTACCACCTTCCCACTTCGAGGTCAGGCATGCCCCAAGAGGCAAATGCGAGTGCCTCTGCCACCGGAGCATTGGACCTTGTGGCAACCCGCTCGTAGTAGGAACCCACATTGTCGACCTTGAAAGCCACCACCAAATGGGGCATGCCAAGATCGGCAACAAGATCAACATCATGGTCCACGTGAGCATTGGTGCACCATTTTTTGGTGCTGCTGGCATCGAGAGCGTTTTGAGCCTCATGATTGTGGGTGTGGTTTGGATCCAGCCCGTCGTCTGCAAAGATCGCTTTGGAATCAATCCATTTTGCCACTTGGCAGTTTCTCATTTCCGTGTAGATATATGCATAGACGGTTCTCCAATCTGAGGGACATTGTTGTTGTCAAGTTAATTGATATCTTGTCATTGTGAATGAATCCGAAGTAAAGGGTAAGACCGTTAGCTTAGTCAGACGTGGTTCACTCTGTCGTGGCTTCGCACCTTACTAGGAGTGCCCTTGCGCCGTCTTTTCGGCCATTGCCTACCGGTACAGTCGTATGCTGCAGAGTGATCTTGCCCGCTGCCTCTGCCAATCACGAATGTTGACTCAAACGGACCAACTCCAGGTCCTGCTCGCGAACATACCCCTGGTCGTCCATCTCCATGCCCCAATCCGGGCCCTGTAGGTATCTATTCCAACACCTGGGCCGGCACTTTTCAGCGTGTGCTACATGGACTAGGGCTGGGTTTCCGAGAAGTTGCCTCGTTAGAAAAGTTGGCCCTCTTTCTCAAGTTCGCATGTCGAGTTTCATTAGCAGTTCATTTATTTTAACCGCTGCAAGCCCAATGCTCTCATGCCACTGATGGCTAAAATGGATCCTAATAATCCGTTGGCCCACCGACAGGCAAGAATCAGGATACCTCGGAGTGACGGTATGTTTCGGAACAATCGATCAATGGAGGGTTCCACAATCCCCTGCAGCACTTGGTATCGCACGTTGCTGACAATGGCCATGAATCCTCCCGTGAACAAGCAGGCATGTAATACGTTCATATTCTGAGTGGCAGGAACATAGTTGGGCAAGTAGATCGTCCTCAAGCTAATCATAATGGCAGTAACGCCATATCCGATTGTACCGGCAATGATACCGGCTCGAAACAGGGGTAGCATGGGGGCAATAAAGGAGCCCAATCTTTGTTGGATACGTGGCCGTGTCACACCATCAGACAGAGTCTTTTGAAACGCATTTGTAGGAACAATCATATTCCCCAGACGAGTTTGATTATCTGGTTGATCTTTTTTCTCTTTGTTAGTTGCGGATGCAGCACTGCCATCATCCAATGTGGGAGCTACACGCCACATTGTGTAGTATTTGCCTGCGACTGCTGTCAGCACACCTGAGACTACAAAGTCAATTTCGGGAACCATTCTGGCGGTACCACGACGAGTCCATTCAGCTGATAACTGTGTCCCAGCTGCCAGGAATACCTCGGCTATAGATTTGGAAAGGAAGGACGGATCTGCCTTGATTCGTCGAGCATACCCAACGGAAATGGGCTCTACTATCCGTGTCTTTACGAGAGATCCAGCATTCCAAGCACTCGATGCCGGCACTGCCAACAACAAGACGAAAATCCATACACGTAGCGGTACCGATAGACGCAACGAAGAGGTCATCCTTCTTTCACAACAGGCTACCGGTGGGTATTTCATCGAAGCTGATGCCTGAAAACTTTGGCTGGACCTGGCAGGGCTGTTCGTTATGTCGTTCACCGTACTGGTGGACTGGTGGCACCGGTGGATGCTGATTGTACTGCAATTCTTCACATCAGACTGACTTCCCATCTCCTCCCAAAAATCCATCGGCAGCAATTGGAAGTTAGAAGCTAGCTAGACCAACGGCGGTTGTCATTGGTTGCGTGATCTGCTCGGTGCCGATTCGATTCGATTCGATTCGATTCGATTCGATTCATCTAACTAATTGGCAGTCCCTTATCGCCCACCTTCCCAGACAGGGAATGAAGAGATTCTACAGAACGGAGAGTATGAGTTAACAGGGAGCCG